ATTGCCATAGTGTTTCCTTCTATATCCCAACTGCCTTCTACCCGAGCATCTGAGGCAAACTTCTAACCATGGATCAATCCTGACCTGTGTTTCTACAGTCCTTACGGGTTTTTTATGTCCTACAAATGAGTGCAATCATTCTATGTCTGTCCCTTTCCTGACTCAATTCACTCAGCATTATATTCTTCATGTCCCCCCATTTGTAAGCGAATTTCATGACTTTAGTTTTCCTAATAGCTGCATGGTATTCCATTGTAGTTTCTTTATCCAGTCATCTGTTCTTGGTCACTCAGGTTGTTTCCATATTATGGCTATTGTGAATAGTGCTGTAATGAACATAGAAGTGCAGATGACTTTTCTGCTGTGAGTTTTTGTGCCCCCACAATGTATTTTCCAGAAGTGATATTTCTGGGTCATATGGAAATTCACTTTCTAGTTTTTTGAGGAATGTCCATATTGTTTTCCAAAAAGGATGGACCATTTGACATTCCACCAACAATGAATGAGAGCCCCTTTATCCCCACATTCATATCAACATTGGTTCATTCTTTTTGATGGTGGTGCCAGTCCCTGTGGTGTGAGATGATATCTCATTGTTGTTTTAATTTTCATTTCTTTGATGATTAGTGATGTAGAGCCATTTGGCCTTTTGGCCATTTGTATTTCTTTTTTTAAGGAAGTTTCTCTTCATTTCTTTGCTCCATTCTTTGATGGGGTTGGATGTTTTTTTCTTGTAAAGTTCTACAAATGCCTTATATATCTTGGATATTAACCCCTTTCTGATGGGTATTGGGTAAAATAAGTTTTCTATTCTATGGGATCTCTGTAATTTGGCCACCTTTTCTTTTGAAGTGCAGAAGCTTCTTAGTTTGATGTAGTCCCATTTTATTTATCTTTGCTTCTCCTTGCTTGGTCAATGATGTTTCATCTTTGAATATTTTTTTAGCTTCATTGTCATGAGAGTTCTGCCTATATTTTCCTCCATGCACCTTATGGATTCAGGTATGATATTGAGTTCTTTAATCCATTTTTATCTGACTTTTGTGCCCGATGTTAGAGATCTGAGTTCATTTTTTTGCATGGAGCTATCCAGTTTTCCCAAAACAACTTGTTCCATTTCACATCTCTTGTTCCTTTATCAAAGATTAAGTGGTCATATATTTGATGGTCTGTTTCAGAATATTCAACTTTATTCCATTGGTTTGTGGGTCATTAGTCCAGCACCATACCATTTTAATTACTACTGCTTTGTAGTACATTTTGAAGTTTGGGAAGGTGATACTTCCCATCTTCTTTTTCCCAAGAATTGCTCTACCTATTTTGGGGGGTTTATTGTTCCATATGAATTTCAGGAGTGTTTGATCTATTTCTTTGAAAATGTTATGGGTAACCTTATAGGGACTACATTGAATCTGTATAATGATTTGGGGAGTATTGCCATTCTGACACTGTCAATCCTCTCAATCCATGAGCAGGGATTGTCTCCATTTCGTTTCCTCATGTCCTCTTATTTCTTGAAGTAGTGTTTTGTAGTTTTCTTTGTATAGGTTCTTCACCTCTTTAGTTAAGCTGATACAGAGGTGCTTGATTTTCTGAGGCACAATTGTGAACTGTATTGTATTTTTAATTTCTCTTTCTTCTCTTTCATTATTTATATATAGGAAAGCCATGGACTTTTGGGCATTGATTTTGTAGCCTGCCACTCTTTTTCATTTATGCAGGAAAGAGGAGTTTCTTCCACCTTTTTTTTAGGGGGTGGGCGGGGCCAGAGAAGCAGACCTGCCAGTGTTGTTCAAGGCTTACTCCTGATAGGGATCAGGGGATCAATAGGATTCCTGTACTATTTCACATGAAAGGCAAGTGCCTTCTCCCCCATACTGTGGCTCTGGCCCCTCTTTCACCATTTTTTTCTAGGAGAGATCTGGTGTTGTCAAATTCCTTTAACTTGTTTGTGTCAGCAAAGGCCTTTATTTCTTCTTTGCAATTGAGAAAGCCTTGCAGAATATAGACTTATTGTTTGGCAAGTATTATCTTTGAGAATTTTTCATGTATCTTTACTCTCTCTCCTGAGTATCTGCTGAGAAGTCTGATGAAAGCTAATAGGAGTGTTTCTATTTTTCCCTTTTTTCCACCCTAGCTGCCTCCTTTTTTTCATTTTTTTCTTTTAAATCTGATAGTTTTTCCATTCTGTGTCTTTGTGTAAGTCTATTTTAATTTAAATAATAGTGGTCTGAATGAAAGTACAGTGGGAAGGGTGTTAGCTTTGCACATGGCCTAGTTAGATTTGCTCCCCAGCACCCCATATGATTCCCGGTCCCCTGAGTACTGCCAGGAGTGATCCCTGAATGCAGAGCCAGGAGTAAGCCCTGAGCACTTCCAAGTGTGCCCCCCCCCAAGTTAAAGTAAATATCAAAATGTTTTATTAGTTTCACAGATGTATTTTTTCAGTTCCTTCCTGGGTTTGGGATGTCTTCCATTATTATTTCTTTTGTTAAGTTTTCTGTTCTTTTTTTCTCTCTCTCTCTTACCCATCTGGGATACCTATCAACCTTATGTTACTATTCTTTATGAAGTCTGTGGTTTGTGTAGTCTTTCTTCATTTCAGTGACTATAGGCCACTCTTGGTAATTGGCTTGCCAGCATGAGCCAAAACATCTTGGTACTAGGCCAAACAGTATGGTGCTATTCAAACCCAACAGTACTAAGGATCATCAGAACCCCCGTAGTGGTGATTAGACAACACCAGGACTACACTCTGCGGTGCCTGGGAAATTTTGTGGTACCAGATATTGCACTCAGAGCCTTGTACATGTAAAACATGCACTATACCTTTTAGAGACATATTCCCCAGCTCTCTCTAAGTTTTCCTTATCTCTTTCCAACTGATTTATTTTTCCATTACTATCTTCAAGCTCACTGAATCTGTGTACATTTCATTTACTGTGTACTTTTGATCTCATTTATTGTTTTCACGTTCTGAGTTATTTATTTATTTATTTATTTTTTAATTTTTCTTTTTGGGTCACACCCGGCAATGCTCAGGGGTTACTCCTAGCTTTGCACTCAGGAATTACCCCTGGTGGTGCTCAAGGGACCATATGGGGTGCTGAGAATCAAACCCGGGTCAGCCATGTGCAAAGCAAACGCCCTACCCGCTGTGCTATTACTCCAGCCCCTGAATTTGTTTTTTTTTTTTCAAACTTTAATTTTTAATCTCGTATTGTTCGCAAGGTACTCTCGAGTAGTCGTTAGGGCTCCTTGGGGTCATTCCAAGCAATACTCAACCAACCAGGCCTAATGGTTCCATGCTAAAACATGTGAGTGAAGTTAAAAATGAGGGAACTCATAAGAACTGTACACTTTCGTGTGTACCAGACACACGCCTAGAGCCTAAATAAGTGCCCCTCTTCTTTATTTATTTTTGTTTTTTGAGTTTGGGGACCATACCTGGAATTGTTCTTGTACAATTCCTGGTTCTGTGCTCAGGGGATTATACATTGTATTGAGGGTTAAACCAGAAACAGCAGGATGCAAGTCCAGAACCTTACCTCCTATATAGTTTCTCTGGCCTATTTTTAGTTTGGGCAATGAAGACTTGAAGAATTTTAACTAACTTAAAATTTTTAGCCCCCCCTTCACTTTGTTGTTGATGTTTCAATGACAGGGTGTTTCATATATGTTTGACTATAGTATTCAAATGTGTACAGCTATGATGCTCCCTGGGGGGGCGTGGTCACACATCTAATTACACTGCTGACTTTGAGAGTTTAAATAAGTTGAACAAGGTTACCAGATGAGATGCGTATGAAGTCAAGATCTGAATTTTGTCTAAGATACATACAACTAATTCAGGAAAGAAAAATGAAGCATATAACAACAGAAACATAAAAATGGCCATTTGGTATTTAATGCCATTGAATTCTCTTCTATTCAAGAATATTCATGGAGCTGGAGTGATAGTATAGCGGGCAGGATGTTTGCCTTGCACACAGTTGACCTGGGATAAATTCTGAGCATTTGTATGGTCCCCCAAACACTGCCAGGAGTAATTTCTGAGTGCGGAGTCAGGAGTAACCCCTGAGCATCGCTGGGTATGACACAAAAAGGAAAAAAAGAATAAAATTCATGAAGGAGATAGTATTTGAACTGGACTTTGAAGGTTGATGGTAGAATTATCATTATTATTATTATTTGCTTTCTGGGTCACACTCAGCGATGCTCAGGGGTTACTTCTGGCTCTGCACTCAGGAACCACTCCTGGCGGTGCTCAGGGTACCATATGGGGTGCTGGCATTCGAACCCGGGTCGGCCGCATGCAAGGCAAACGCCCTACCCACTGTGCTATTGCTCCATCCACAATGGTAGAATTTTTGCAGGTGAATGTAGGAGATCAGGCAATAATCTATAGCTGAGGTTAAAATTAATTCTGTCTGAAGCCCAAACCTATTTTTCTTTCTGTAAGAAAAAACAGAATCAATAAGAGCAAATGTAGGAAGACAGTATGACTGAAAAAGACTATATTATTTTGGTTATAGAAAAAACACTGAAAAGGAAATTTAAGAAAACAAAGACTTGGAACTGGAGCAATAGCACAGCGGGTAGGGTGTTTGCCTTGCACTCAGCCAACCCAGGTTTGATTCCCAGCATCCCATATGGTCCCCTGAGCACCGCCAGAAGTAATTCCTGAGTTGCAAAACCAGGAGTAACCCCTGTGCATCGCCAGGTGTGATCCAAAAAGGAAAAAAAAGAAAGAAAACAAAGACTCTTCAGAATAAATACAACAGTTTCTATAATATATAAAAACTCTTTTCCAATACCAAAATTACCTATGAAGGATGCTTTATCTTCTTGGTAATTCATCTTAAAATCAGTATTTAAGAGGACTTGGTGGGGTAAATTATAATAGGTTTATATGGTGATAGAGCTGGGTATAGAGTTTTATAACAAGAAATTTGAAAAATATTTTTTACAGAGACAGTCACTGATATGCTTATTTCTAGCCATTTTTCAATATGGAACTCCCCAAAGGGGCTGATCTTGAAAAAGCCAGAAGTCAGAAGATTCCATTGCTAGCTGATTTTTTGAAAATTGCAAAGAGTAAAAACAGACATGTAATATTTGACCTGAATAGACCTCCAAAATATCATCCTTACAGATACCTATTTGTCCATAAAACTGTAGAGGTGATCCTTGCATCAAAAATTGAGCAACATCTGGTATGTGTAATTGTTTTTTATGGTTTAGGTTGGGAGGTAGTTAACAGTGCCTAAGAATCTGACCTAACTTCTAGGTCTTGCTACCTATAGAAACTTTTATCTTTACAGAAATGTGGATTTTAATTATATAGCTACATGTGCTATCTGCCAGTGACTTAGTTAAATTTCATTCATTCATTCATTCATCATCCTGTTATTCGTCGATTGCCTCGAGCAGGCCCCAGTAACGTCTCTTTCATCCTAGCCCTGAGATTATATTCAAGGCTCTTTAGGAGAATGAGACCCATCATTGTTACTGGTATTTGGCATATTTGGTACGCCACGGGGAGTTTGCCAGACTCTGCCCTGTGGGCAGGCTACATTCGATAGCCTGCAAATTTGTCCAAAGTAGGAATGAGAAAATAAATTTAGTTAAATTTATGTCGATGGAAATAGACATTGAAGATATTTGCTATTCTAAACCAAGTGATATATCAACACTCTGTAAAAATATAGTGTGATAGTGATTGTTTGACATGACTCACTTTATCATCAGCACACATTTTTTAAAGGGTCAATATAACACTAAGGCTTTGAGAATTTGTTCTAAATTAATTCTGTAGAAAGGGGAGTGGGTTCTTATTTGAGCAGAAATGTATTATGTTTTTCAGAAAAAAACTCTGGCAGATGAGTGTCCATTGAAGAACCTCATGTTTTTTCCTTACAGGTTTATTGGTTGCAAGATTTTAACAGGGCCTATGTCAAGTTAGTCGCTCCTGGCTTTCACCAAATGGGAAGGCTTCGCACAATTGAAACCCTGTCAAGGGAAAATATAAACATAATAAATGTTGACTTTAAGTCATTATTTGCCAATGGGTTAAGGTAAATGTCTGACTATACTTCTCTTGGCCTAAACTGCCATTCTTTATTCTAACCAAGCTATATGACTTCCCCCTTTGCTCTGAATTCCGTATCATTTTGGAGTCCTTTACTTTTCCCCTTCTTCCATTCTCTGCTTTTATATTATTTATCTATATATTTATCTATATGTTCATTTTTACGGGCCTTTTAAGTAGTGCTCAGGAGGTCCTGGGCCCCAACATTGCTTCTTGGCTAACTGGACTGTTGGCTCAGAAAATCTCAATGTGATGCTGCTCATACACTCAGTACCTGGGATACCTGGGTCAGCCAGTTGGCCTTGGGGCCTCCATGTCTGCACCCTGAAATCCTATTGATAACAGACTCTTGCCAAGTGAAATTTTTGCCGTAGAACAGTATTCAGTCTCTTTAACTTTGTGCTCTGATCTTTCATAATTCAACACACTTTATATGCTTGAGATTTTTGTTGTTATATAAATAGTACTGAAAAGTCAAAAATCAAAGAGTTGTTTATTTCTTCCTACCATTACCAGATATATTTCAGTACCTTATAAATAGTTTTAATTACCTAGATGCCAGAATTCTTATTTTTTTATCCCAATCTTTCAGCTTTTATTTTTACTTAACAAAAAATTTTCCCTCTCTTTCTTTGTTATCGCTGCTGCAATGACAAGAGGTTATTACTTATACTTGGTTATGGCATAGCATTTGCCAAGGGTCATGCATTGGTTTTCTTCTAATGAGAAAAAGGTTAGAGAGCTGTGTATCACACCAATGTTAGTATAGTTGAACAAATGAGCATTGCAAGGTGTGACCCCAAAACCAAAATAAATAGTTATTGGACATAGTTATGTGGGCATAGTTTTAAGTAGTGCCTCTGTTATTTATTTCTTTGGGGGCCACATATGTCAGCCCCCAGGGCTGTATGCAAGACTGTACTATTTCCCTGATTTCTCAAGTAGTATATTTTTAAGAAAAAGCATATCATGATTCTGGTTTTTGTTTGTTTTAGTTTTTTTATTTAAATACTGTGTTTTACAAAGTTGTTCATAATATCGTTGTTGTTTCAACACCAATTCAATCACCACCGTGACCTTCCCTCCACCATTGTCTCCAGTTTGCCACCTACTCCCAAGCTTGCCTCTTTAGCAGGCACAAAATAATTTATTTTATATTGCTTGTTACAACAAAATGGTAAGTGGGATTACACTTCAGTGAAAGAAAATTTGTGAAAACTATTCTATCTTGCCATGGGGTCATTAAAGTCATTGTTTGCAGGCTTACCAAACTGTTTGTTGTTAAGTAAGACTTTTTTGGCCTTTATTCTATTTTCCCAATCTAATTTTATATGCTCCTATTGGACTGTGAGTATTGTGGAATTTGGAGGTGTTGTGCTGCCTTGTGTGCAGGTGGCAAACTCCAGCATTTCAATGATCAGCAGAGCTTGGCTGATGAGTTTGGGTGGCTTGGTTTAGCTTGCATCTCTTCTGAGATTAGTGGTGAAGCTGTAGAGCGAGGCCATTACTTACATGGCTACAGCTGTGGGTGTGGGTGTGGCTTCTGGAGGTTTGGGGAGTAGGAAGGGGTAGGGCAGGCTGCTGGTCCCCACTCTGAGACAACCCCAGAATTCTCAGTACTGAAAACAGTGTTCCTGGAATTTACTTGGCTTGACATCTCTGCATAGATTAGTCATAGAGCATTAAAGTTAGACCATTTTCATGATTTACATGGTGGGGTCTGTGAGGTATGGGTGTGACTGCTGGAGGTTTTGCCCCTCCTGAGGGGGGCCCCAGTGTTTTCAGCCAGAAGACCAGTGTACCCATGAGTTTTAGCAGCTTGACTTCTAAATGAAGTCTTCGGGATGAATCGATGAATAACGGGAGGACCGTGACCATGATTTGGTCAGTTTATGATCTTTTGGATGTAATGTTAGGGACAGTTTGCTATATTTTGTTAAGGATCTTTGCTTCTGTATTCATCCAGGATTTTGGACTACAGTTTTATTTTTGTGATGTCTCTTTCTGCTTCTGGTGTCAGGGTAGTTTGCATCATAAAATTGTTGGGCGTTTTCCTGTTCTTTGAATTTATGGAAGAGCTTGTAAAGGACTAGGAGTAGGTTTCCTCTAAAGGTTTGGAAGAATTTTCCAGTAAACCCATCTGAGCCAGGGATTTTGTTTTTAGGAAAACTGAATTACCATTTAGAATTCCTTAATAGTAATTAGTTCGTTCAAGAGCTCTGTTTTCTCTTGGTTTGGTTTTAGGAGCTTACAAGAATTCAATATAACTGTTTCTAAGTTCTCTAATTTTATGGCATAAATATTTTTAACTTTTATTTAAGCATCATTATTTATGTAGTTACTCGTAGTTGAATTTTAGACATACCATGTTCTAGCACATCCAACCAACAGTGTCAAATTACTCCACCAGAATTCTCAGGTTTCCTCCCATTGCTCACCATCCCCAGCCTGCCCCCTTGACCTTTTTAACTTGGGCTCTTATAGTTTGGGTCTCATGAGTTCAGTGGTGTTGACTCTGTGGTTTGAATATCGGCTCTATCATTCCTTAACATCACCGATGTGCCATAATCCCCTTGACCTGTTTCCCCGCCTTTGCTTCTCATTTGTCTCTTCTCCCCCACCCCCATTCACTCTATTTCTTGTCGTCTTCTCCCTATATGTTGGCAAAGGGTGAACTGGTATCCCCCCCCACACACTTTAAACCATTGCATTCCCTCATCCAGTTAGTCAAAATACCACATGTAAGTGATGTCATCCTGTGTTTATCTTTCTTCTTTAGGCTTATTTCATTTACCGTGATGTCTTTCAGTTCCAACCATGTTTTTGAGTTATATGATTTTGTCATTCCTTACATCTATGTGGTATTATATACATTCATAGATAGATATAGAAATAGACATAGATATTCTTATATATATATCACTGTCACTGTCCATCCATTGTTCATTAATTTGCTCCAGCGGGCCCAGTAACATTGTCAAACTTGTTGTTTCTGTGTTTGGCATATCGAATACGTCACAGGTAGCTTGCCAGGCTTTGCCATGCGGGCGAGATACTCTTGGTAGTTGCTGGGCTCTCCAAGAGGGCCGGAGGAATTGAAGGCGGAGGAATCGCCCTACCCACTGTGCTATCACTCCAGCCCTTATATATATCATGAAGATATAGATATAGTATCATGTACATATATATGTCTCTCTCTCTCTCTCTATATATATATATATATACTATATCTTCTTGATACACTTATGAGTCATTGGACATCTAGGTTGATTTCAAATCTTAGCTATTATACTGAGTTCTGCAATGACTAATGGCGTTTATATATTCTTTTGAATAAATGCTTTTCTGTCCTAGGGATAGGTACTTAAAAGTGGGATTACTTGTTCATATGGGAGCTCAGTTCTGAGCTTATTGAGAACCATTCATAGTGTTTTCCATAGGAGTTAGACCAGACAACATTTCCACCAGCAGTAGACTTTTTCACCACATCCCCGCCAACAGAGAATGTTACAAGTATTTTTGCTGTGTACCATTCTCACTCGTGTAAGATGGTATCTCATGGTTATCTTTATTTGGATTTCCCTAATAATAAGTGATAATAAGCATTCTTTCATGTGCCTGTTGGTCATCTGTTGGTCTTCCTCAAAGAAGTCCCTGTTCATTTCCTCTCCCCATTTTTTGGAGTTTTTAGATTCTTTGCTGTTGTTGATCTTTATGAGTACTTTCTATATCTTGGATATCAACCTTTTATCTGATATGCAAATATTTTTTCCTACTCTGCTGTTGTTTAGTTTTAGCATATGTTTCTTTTGCCATACAGAAACTTTGAAGTTTGATATAGTCCCCCATTTGTTTAGTTTTTATTCTGTAGCCTTTGCCAGTGTCATCATATCATTGAAGACTCCTTCAAAGTGTAGGCCTAGGAATGTCCTGCTTATATTTTCCTCAGTGTACTTTATAGATTCAGGTCTGATCTCAAGGACTTTGGTCTACTTTGAGTTAACTTCTGCGTAATGTTTAAGAAATGAACCCAGCTTTAATTTCTTGCATATGGTTATCTAATTCTTCCAACACCTTTTGTTTAAAATTCTGACTTTATTCCATTTCATACTCTCAACTCCTTTGTCAAAAATTAACTGAACATATATGTGGGATTTTGTCCTTGGATATTATTTTCTGATCCAGTGATCAAAGAGTCTTTCTTTATTCCAGTACCATGTTGTTTTGATCACAGTGGTTTTACAGTATAGATTCATGTTAAGTAGTGAGATGCCTCCCAGTTTTTTGTTTTTCAATATAGTTTTGGTTATGTGGGGTATTTAATGGTTCCTCACAAACTCTATCATTGACAGTTCTAAGTCCTTGAAGAATATTCTAGAATGTTGTCTGAATTTGGGTAGGGATTGCGTTGAATCTATATAGTAGTTTAGATAAGACGATCATTTAACAATGTTGATTTTTCCGATTCATGAATATGGAATGTTTTTCCATTTCCTAAGATTTTCATTTTCCTTCTTGAGTGTTTTGAAGTTTTCATGGTATATGTCTCACTCTTTTATTAAGTTGATTCCTAGGTATTTGTTATTTTTGGACACTATTTTAAATGGGGCTGACTCTTTGATTGCTTTCTCCTCTGATTCATTATTTGTATATAGGCATGCAACTGATTTTTACATATTGACTTTGTAGCCAACCACTTTGCTATATTGGTTTATTGTTTCTAGGAGATTTTTAGTGGACTTTTTAGGGTCTTCAATGTATATCATCATGTCATCCACAGTTAGAGGAAGTTTCCTCTTTTCTGATTTGTATCCCTTTGCCTGATTGCTGTTGCTAAAACTTCTAACATGATGTGGGGACAGTGGATATCCTTGCCTTGCACCTAATTTTAGTGGGAATGCTTTCAATTTTTACCATTAATAGTAGGTATGGGATTTTTATAGCTAGCAGCTACTAACTTGAGGAAGGTTCCTTCCACTCTTATTT